GGTTCAATTTCTACAAATTATAGGAAATGTTTTCCACCCAAAATATGATTTCCTTATATTTCTTTAAAAATTTATAGGAAAAGTTTTGGGAATTCAAAAAGTATCAATTTTCTTGTTTTTTATACTTTGCTTGTTTGGTTCAAAACAAGAAAATGACCCATAATTTTATAGAAAATAGCAATATTTCCTTTTCTTTTGTTTGGTTACATATGCCAAATTTATAGAAAAGTATCAACTACCATATTTATCACTTTAATGGCTAGTTTAAAGGCTAGTTTCACATTATTAAATCTTATAAAATAATTTCATCCTCAAGTATGCATATATACAAAATTTTCACATAATTAAATCTTATAAAAACCAACGATAGAGAGCTAAACAAGCTCGAATCAACATAGTAACCGGAAAAACAGACCTGAAGCTTGACAACAAGCACAATTATCGACCAAAAAACCCAACAATAGAGAGCTAAACAAGCTCGAATCAACATAGCAACTGAAAAAACAGCCCCAAAGCTCGACAACGAGCACAAATATCGACCAAAAAACCCAACAATAGAGAGCTGAACAAGCTTGAATCAGCATAGTAACTGGAAAAACAGCCCCAATTTGTCGTCGATTAGAACTCTATTGCATCAAAAAGTACAAATCCAACTGCATTCTTCGTTATAGTTTCAATCCCAACAATTTCTCTTGCCAGCGACCAAAATAGATAGTAGACAAGTACATTACAGAGATCATCAACCTCTCATAACTCGCTTCTATTCTTTCATTTTAGCTATTTCAACCACATCCAAGAAGATAACAAAAGATTGTCATAGAGCAAAAGAATCTAATAACAGCTCCTGACATTCAATGTTTCTCCACAATTCTAGGTTCTAGCAATAGTGAGATAATTAAGCATGATAGTGAGGATCCCTATGGAGAAAAGGCACCTAATGATGCCAAAAAATCAAAGTTCATTTATGTTAAAACTGATCCAATAGAATACACCTTTTGGTTATTTAAAAAATGCAACCAGTAAAATAGAGGCAGAAATTTTGAGATTGAGATAAAAAAATAAGCATATTGCACAATAACTCAAGAAATAACAAGTATGCACCTGTGAAAAAGAATCAGTCTCCTCTTATTATCAAAACATCAAAAAAGGGGCTGTTTTGATCTTATGAATCATGCAGGCAACCTGTGGATTTACTGTTGATCTTATGAATCATTTCTAATAACATAAAATTAACAAATTGGTCTTATGAATTCATGTATAAATATCACCATAAACAAGTGGGAGTGTATAAATGTGCAGTGAGTGAAACCATAATGTATTTAAGTGCTATTTAGCCCCTAGTTTCTTAAATCATTGAAATTGCTATTAGGGGGTGTTTGGTTCAATTTCTACAAATTATAGGAAATGTTTTCCACCCAAAATATGATTTCCTTATATTTCTTTAAAAATTTATAGGAAAAGTTTTGGGAATTCAAAAAGTATCAATTTTCTTGTTTTTTATACTTTGCTTGTTTGGTTCAAAACAAGAAAATGACCCATAATTTTATAGAAAATAGCAATATTTCCTTTTCTTTTGTTTGGTTACATATGCCAAATTTATAGAAAAGTATCAACTACCATATTTATCACTTTAATGGCTAGTTTAAAGGCTAGTTTCACATTATTAAATCTTATAAAATAATTTCATCCTCAAGTATGCATATATACAAAATTTTCACATAATTAAATCTTATAAAAACCAACGATAGAGAGCTAAACAAGCTCGAATCAACATAGCAACTGAAAAAACAGCCCCAAAGCTCGACAACGAGCACAAATATCGACCAAAAAACCCAACAATAGAGAGCTGAACAAGCTTGAATCAGCATAGTAACTGGAAAAACAGCCCCAATTTGTCGTCGATTAGAACTCTATTGCATCAAAAAGTACAAATCCAACTGCATTCTTCGTTATAGTTTCAATCCCAACAATTTCTCTTGCCAGCGACCAAAATAGATAGTAGACAAGTACATTACAGAGATCATCAACCTCTCATAACTCGCTTCTATTCTTTCATTTTAGCTATTTCAACCACATCCAAGAAGATAACAAAAGATTGTCATAGAGCAAAAGAATCTAATAACAGCTCCTGACATTCAAACATAAGCTCATTCTCAAACCTCTGCAACACAAAACGCTCCTCGGGGGTGAGGAGACTGTGACGCTGCACCTGTCATTGGAGAAAGGCATCCGTCCTGTCCTCCCTGCACGATGAAGATAGTCGACTGCTGTCCTCAGGAGATCAAAATTACACACGTGTTGTCTCTGGCAAGTCGAAACCTCTGCTTGCCAAGTCTGTCGCCACTAAAAGGCAGCCTCCTTGTCTCACGTCCTGCACTCACAAGTATAAAACTAAGTAAACAAGAATTCATACTATATGGCAACATTAGATGAGCTTATTGGCAAAGTTGATTCCTAAGAATAATAAGTTGATTCTCCTAAGAATAATTCAATGATGTCCACATAAAAAAAAGAAGAAAAAACAATGACAAACAGAAAAGGGAGGAAATTATATTCATTCATAATTTGATACCAATTACTACAACGTAGCAAGCTGTTTACAAATTGGGAAGTCTCCAACAATATAGATAGAGAATAAATGCAGCTTAACTTGGACTGTATTATTACAGTAAATTGGTTCCTAAAACAGAGATTTACCGATAGCGATGTTGCTCGTGCATTAAAATTCATGTTTTCTTCAAGCAGGAGGACCTCCAGGCTGCCATTATAGCAGTCTCTCAGGTATTTAATGACAAGGTACATGGCAATATCAAACGGCGCAGGTAACAAAGAGAACTAAGGGGCAAAACCTGTTCGCCAACAAAAATTATCCCTGATTTTGGTGGCATCTCTTTGAAGCAAGGACAACAAGATATGCAATCTTTCTTTCTTATTGCAAACCTGTAAAATGTAGAAAGTAAAGATGCTGTATTAATAAAACAAAGAGCATATGTAATATGAAAAGTAAAACAAGAGAGAGGCATGAGAAATTATTGAAGATAAGGATTATGACATTCAAAACAAGAAACATTATAAATTCTGAAATGTCTCACCACAAAATTGTGACTCAAGCGCGAAGGCATTGGCTCAATGGGATTCACATGAATGTGGACCATATCATTCTGTGTACATTAAAAGAAAGAGCATACAAAAATTAGGCTGGCGATAACCCACTACAGGTAAAAGCAAAAAATGAAACCCCTTTACTGGTATCAAACTCTATACAGAAACATAAAATTACCACAAACATCTGCATACCTTGGCCTATTTCTGTTGCACGCAGTCATAAAGAAATCGGTTGTGTTGGGGAATAGATGCGCTAGCAAAATCGGTCTGACGTGTATGGATAATCAGCATAGTAACTGGAAAAAACAGCCCCAACAGCTCGCTAACGAGCACAAATATCGACCAAAAAACCCAACAATAGAGAGCTAAACAAGCTCAAATCAGCATAGTAATAAGAAAAACAGCCCCAAAGCTCGACAACCAGCACAAATATCGACCAAAAAACTTAACAATGTAGAGCTAAACAAGCTCGAATCAGCATATTAAATGGAAAAACAGCCTCATAGCTCGACAACGAGCACAAATTTCAACCAAAAAAACCCAAAAAACATCATAGCTCGACAACGAGCACAAATTGCAACATCTAAAGTTTGCAAGTAACAAAATACAAGTTTGCGAGGGAATAGTAACAAAACATGTGAATTAGCAAAATTGAGTGTTGTGTGCACAGAACAACAACACACTATGACGTGTCCCATCCTTGAGCCGCAGCAAGACTTGCAAGAAACCTCTTCTGAGCCTCCTTCGTTTTTATAAAAAACCTCCTAGCCTCACGCTCACTTTCATACAAATGATCTAAAACCTTATCAAGGAATTTATCACTATAAGAGTCACTATGGTTCTTCAAAGCTGCAGCTAATTGTTCAGTCCAATGTATAATGTGTTGATTTCTAATTGACTCCGACATTGACTCAACAAAGCTATGTATCAACTCATCATCATTTGAGTGTCGAGGTCTCTTGCTTGAAGATGGCTTTGTTTTAGATTCACGTTGGGATTTTCTAGATGTGGAGTTTGGGGTAATGTTAGCATCGGATTGTGGCTCAACTTCACTCTCAAGTGGAATGTCCATATCATCATCATCAAGAGGAATGACGTTGTTAGTACCAATCTTATCATAAATTGGCCTAACAAAATCACCCCTAGCTTGATCATCACCCATGATCTTCTGTAAATGTTTGTAGAAGGGAAGAGACTTGTTTATATATCCTCTTAGCTTTGAATTCCTTTTGTCTTGCAATATGTGAAAAATATTGTGTGAAATTAATTATAACATTCTCACATCCAAATAAATTAAATGTGTTGTTATGATAAAATTAATACGTGAGCCCATATTTTAAGTGTCTCCTCATCTAGAATTATCATACAATTATCCTCATCCCACCCCGCACCACTTATGTTGATGCAAGCCTTCATATCATTGAATTTGTTTCTCCAAGTTTTCATGCGATTAATCACATGAAGGTGGGTGTAGCTGGTTTTGAATTTCATGTTCATCTTCATAGCTGCTATTTTGTAAGCCTCAGCTTTGAAGTTTTTATCAACCTTCATTCCATCATCCGCGAGCTCCGCAAGACACGGTATAAGCTCTGCATCATGCTCGGGGAGCCACCACATGTTGGAAACCCCCTTCGAATTGAGGCTAGGAGCTCCTTGTGTTGCAGACACTTTACTGTTTTGAGCTAATTTTTTGGTTTTTTTGGAGGATGACATCTCTTGACTCAAATTAATTACATTGCTTTGATGTCCACCAGATTCACCTGTGGTTGGTGACATTTGTTGTGGACCGCTGCTTTGAGAACTCAAAGTGGGATTATATAAGCCTTGGGGACTGTTCAACATGTTAGTGAATGAAACACGTTGTTGGCTGATTCCACTGTAGTTCCCTTCAAATAGTGAAAGGTTATTGAAAGAAGACGGCATTGTTTGAGGCGGATTGAACGGTTGATTTGGATATGAAACAAAATTGACATTAATACCGCCTGAATCAATTGGTGGTGCATGTGGTGAATTGGGCAAATTTTCTTTTCCTCCCTTTTTGTTAGACATACCTATGTGTCATAATAAAAACAAGCCATAAATTTAGAAGTACATAGCTGCAATATGTGAACAATTATGAAATATGTGAAAACAATAAAAAACATTATCCGTACAAGTGCAATTATGAAATAAAAAAACATAATTAAATATGAGAAATTACATTGTTCATACAAGCACAATTATGAAATATGCGAACAATAAAACTTACAAGCCCAATCTTCTGTGGTGTCGCCATCTGTTAAATTTTGCACAAATAATCAACCCACATTGCAATGCAATCTGATCCCTGAAGAGTCCTTACACCATAACATTTCTTGCTCCGCTCCTCGTCTTATGTTCCTGAATTGAAGTGAAATGTCAACTAAACGCTTGATCAATCCTTCGATTGTCCAACGTCATCAATATCTCCTCATCAATTAGACATTTTTTCTTCTATTCCAGATCTGTCATCTTGTGGATCTTTCAATTGCAATAAAATTATGTAATACTAGTACATGCTAGAGAACGATAGCAAAACCTTGTTGGGGGAATGGTATCTAGACTTAGCGGAAACGAATTTGAACCGATGTCTTACATGTCCAAAAGTCTTTCATTTAACCGTATAAGAAGAGTGTCTTAAATTGATAATCTCCCTACTATTTCTGGGTGTCCTACCAATTTGTTCCCTTTAGTGATAACGACGCCACGGTATGGAAGATGAAGCCAGGCATAGGTAGTGTAATCACAGAATCACAAAAGAAGATAATATTTGCCTAATTAATAAACAAGACAAACTTGCTGTGATCAGGTTTGGATCATTCATTCAATTTAAGTTGTATATTTAAATTAAGTATGGGGTGGAAGAATACCATCTACCTACTCATCACATCCGTTAAGGTTGTGCGTCTAGACAACGGCGTCTCTGCAGAATCCTATAGTCATTTCCGCGCCCTTCCCACGCCAGCTAGACATATGTGCGAAAAGTTTTATTTGGGAGTGCATCGCAGCTAAAACATTCTTGCGTTACACCTTTACGTCCTCTACATCCCGTGCAACTACGCTAGAGGAACAATTCGCATCTCATCATGTGTTCCAGTCTATCATACAAAAGAAAACAAAAAACAATGCAAAAATAAATGATTGAAATATTAGTATAAATATCATTAATTAAATCACTACGCAAAACAAATATAAAATTCTCAACTTACCTTGAAGGTAAAGGAAAATAGTTTGATTGTTGACATATCTCCGGTGGAATCTCATTAGGTGCTTTGTTCAAATGTATCATCGAGAAGACCATAAATAAAGATCTATTAAACAGTATCACTAAGCCGTTTCACCCGATCCTTATAGAATTCGTCCTTATTACTTGTTTTTGGTTTTATGACACTATGACAAAGAAACATAGCAAAGTACATATAAACAATTATACAAATATATACATAACATCCCGCAAAGTTTGAAAAACGTTTAGGCCGTCATTCTAATATAAGACCTACAACTATCAAACCATATCTCAAAGATGCGCTTGAATTGGCATTATACATAATATAAAAATAATAATATATAGAATATACTCTCTTGACATAACAAATGTTTGCGCCTAGACACCACGAATTCCTCATAAAAAACTATTAATTGTAACCACATCTTCATCTACACCATCCATCTACATTCGTTACAAAGAAAAAATAGTTTAAGATGTTTATGCAACAATAAACAACGACAAAAAATTTATCAACTAACTTATCAACAAAAATCTGCCTTTTACAGATTTTTAGATTCACAAGAATATTTCAGTTTTAGATTGCAACAAAAATAACTTTAGAAAAAGGAAGATGACAGTGTGGTTCAGATATGGTTTAGAAAAAGTTAATATGTTTTAATTTAAAACACTCCTTATACACTTCTTGCATGTGTATTCTTCATTTCACATCTATTCCTTATATATCGATCTTATGTGAAGGAAGAATGATTTTATGTAAATTATTAATTTTAAAACATACAAACATACATATATACATAGTCGTGACCCATACCCTACTTTGTACAAATTTGCTGTGTGTACCATACCTGTACCCATGCAATTCAACCTATAGCAAATATCAATAAACATGCATACCGATTCACTTACTCAAGAGAGCAACTAAAATTGTAAAATTGCACATCTCAATCTAAGTATATACCTTCTACATAGTACTATGTTCTTATGCACATTTCGATACATTCTTCAAATGCATATCAACATCATAATGTTGTATCATTTCAGAAGAATTCAAGCCTATACCAAAATGGATCAGATTATAACATTCAAATAGAAGCATTCAAGTCAAATGGAGTATTTGAGGGCCTCGTTTATATTACATTTCAGCTCTAAATGTTTCATTAGACTGCAATCTAATCATTTATACATCATTGAAGTATGTACATGAATCACCAGAAAACAGTCAAAAGTAACCTAGATGAAGTATTATTATCGTTCGATCGGAATATTTTTAAAAAAAGATGGTATTCCCCTGCCAGCAATGTCATTTCAAGAAAGGATGCTTATTGCCATCATATGATATTTCTTTGAAAAATTGCTCAAGTCAAAAAGCTGTATAAAATATTCAGGAGCACCTTGCATTTATTGTCTAACTAAATTCTTCATAGGAAAGAACATCTTAGGCCTCTTATACCAATATGCTAAGCTCTTTTGCAATTTTCTTACCATAATCACAACCTATTATACAAACCCTTCTACACTCCCTATCTCCCTGCCACTCGCTTTCTTCCCCTTCTTTTCCTTCCCTCTTCTCCCTCGTTCTCCCTTTTCTTTCTTCTTTACCCTCCGCAGAGAAAGATGAATATATGACAAACTTATTAAACCAATGCTTGAGAAGCTGAAAGCCATAAACACGAAATGCCGCTTGACCTTGAGTTAAAGCAAAGCACAAGCTTCACGAATTTATAAACAAAGTGTTCTGTTTAGAATTTAAACAGTTTAAAAACTACAATATCAGTATTGCATCATATGCTACATGCTATGAAACGTGCGTGAGTTTAGCAAAAGAATTTCGACTGCACCTGATTGAAGAAATATGGAACTCACGAAGGACAGACACGCGATAGTGGAGAAATACAGCATATAGGGACTACTCACATACATGAATAAAATATGCTAATATACAGCGTTGATGACGAGCGGGTCTGTTTGCAACTTTCTTAGTCGAACCCCACGCTAATTTTGCGCGTGCAAGGTCCTCTAAATTACCTACGCTGCGGGAATCAGGGATGAGCAAGAATAACAAAGGAGCGAAGGAAATCAGGTATGAGCAAATAGCAAAGAACAGCTCATTTATTCCTTGCAGAGGCCTTTTTGGAGATCAGAACTCGGGGCGGAGTGAAGGGAAGAGGAACTGGTATCGTGTGATTCGGGGAACAGAGAACCCTAGAACGTGGGGCGCATGGATTGAGAGCGAGGCAACGAAGACCTTGTGACGGGAGTACTTAAGAGAGAAGGACGCGAAGGAGCGCAAACCCCAGCTGTCGATTCGGGGCTCTCCTTTGAAGCGGATTTTCTTTAGAAAGGGAAAGGGGGAAGGGCGAAGAAAGGGGAAAAAAAAGCCAACGCACGGGGGTTTTTTTAAAGTTTCCGGATGGACCTTCAAAGAAACTTTCGCCTTTTCTCGTGCTCTGGTAAGGGGGCAAAGGCAACTGCAAGCTTTCGCTGGCGGGGATCGGTGCGTGTTTTTAATTCCAAGGCGTCGACAATGAAGCCAATCCTCGAAAACGGGGCAAGCAAAAAAAGGACCTTCGGGGTCCGAAAGAGGGGGATTCCAAAAAAAAAGAAGGGACGTACTTGCTTTCAAAGGGACTCGGGAAAAGATTGTTCCATCCATCTTTTGTTTTCGGGATTTCCCGTCCGTTGAACTAGGGTGGGTTGAAAACAAGGGGCGGATTTCAAAAGAAGCTTACCACCTAAGTTTGCCCACAACAGCACCAGGGAGGGGAAAAAAGCTTCGAGCCCAAAAACTTACGGGGACCCAAAGTACTTGTTTTGCGCGCAATAACCACAGGAGTCGGGTCGTTTTTTCATTTTCCAACCAAAGGGGGATTGCTTTACCTTTTTCTCGCGGCGGTAAGAATAGGCATTCGAGGGGGGGGACCTTTTTGGTTGAGGGGCGGCCGGCGGGTCATAACGCTTAAAGTAAAGCCAATGGGTAGAAAAAACGGCCAAAACGCCAAACTGCCGGAAAAAAGGCGAGTCATGAAACGGGAGTTATGAAAACTTTGCTTTTCCTTCAAGAAAAAAAAAAAAAAACTTCCCAAAAAAAAAAAGGACGGGGGTATACGGAAGTATTAAAACTGTTTTGCTTAAAAAATCCCTGGCCGACCCGGGTATAAAGAGGTGTTTAAAAAACTTACTCCCTGGATTAACCTTCCAAAATAAGGTTATGTTTTTATGGAGGGGGTGCTTTAGAAAAACTGTTTTTGTCCCCCACTGTTTTGGAACGGGGCGGGGGACGAAAGGTTTTTCCTGGGAGGAATATTCTAAGGGGCTTAATATTGCTGTTTTTTCAGGACTTTTAACCCGGGTTACAGGGTAAATTTGATTT